TTCACACTTGTCTTTAACTGCTTGCAAAGTTGTCTCGGAAGTACACTCATCTTCCTCTAGTGGGGTAAGCACATCGCATCTACATCACCTTGTGATCGTCCATACTTGCGCTTTGAATATAAACGTACTGTCCTTCTTCGCATTCCAGTCGAATTGATAAGCCTTTTGGTTTGATTCCACATCTGTTTTCCGCTGGCATCTCGTCATAACACTCAGGCGCACCTTCTACTTCAACTGCTGGCTCAAAGTCCATCAAGTCCTCATCTTCGTCTGGGAGAGATGGTGTTGTAGCAGCAAAAGCTACCAAATAATAAAAAGCATTAGTATTTCACATGACAAGAAATGCACTATATACACATATAAAACTAACGTGCAATATAATAGTATTTACTCAATAACAAAGTGTCATTAGTAGAAAGATACAGGAAGTTTGGTTACTGTTGATGCACTTTCCGTTGCCAATTGCGAGAATCATTGGTTAAATATCATTATAATTTGGTGATCTATAGATTAAAAAGTCCATATAATTATGTACTACTTTTGAAACAATTAAAACAATGAAAGGATTACATCAGTGTAATTCAAATTTAGTTGGCCCCCTTAAGGCGATGTGCGCCAAGGTAGCATTTTGTTGTTAATACAATGTCAATGATTACTTTAACATAATAACAGAGATCATACCTGGCAAAACTTCGGGTTCTCCTCCACCTATAGATAAGGAAAACGCATATTTATTAAACAAAGACTGGAATTCTATACAATTATGTTTCACAAATGCTACTATGTATGTATTGGATTTAAGTAGTAAGAATGCAATAGCGTACCGAATGAACCGAATTTCATTGACTTCAAATACAATTATTAATGAACTAATTCTAGTTAATATTAAATGCAGAGAAAGATGAATATTGCATATTATATATCAAAATATTGCTAGGTTGAAATGTAATACATAATTTGCCTGATGTAGAAAACTCAATGAAACATATTTCAATACATATATAATACGCTGTTGGTGTTATTGGCAATCAAGATAATAATGAATAATTTAAAAACTGTGTTGCAGTGTTTATTTCCCGCATGAAAATTATATGTTGTAATATTTTAAAGCTACGGTAGACTTGCGTGTTCATTTCATGTGCAAGTAACCCAATATGACAATAAAACTATAATTATTGTTCGACAATAATAACTTACAAGATTTTACACAGACATATTTCACATTGAGAAACGTCTCAACCCTCCTACCACAAGGATTTCCACCATGAAAGTTGGGACGAAATGGAACGACGCAAGATCTTCTTCCTTCACACTTGTCTTTAACTGCTTGCAAAGTTGTCTCGGAAGTACACTCATCTTCCTCTAGTGGGGTAAGCACATCGCATCCTACATCACCTTGTGATCGTCCATAACTTGCGCTTTGAATATAAACGTACTGTTCTTCTTCGCATTCCAGTCGAATTGATAAGCCTTTTGGTTTGATTCCACATCTGTTTTCCGCTGGCATCTCGTCATAACACTCAGGCGCACCTTCTACTTCAACTGCTGGCTCAAAGTCCATCAAGTACTCATCTTCGTCTGGGAGAGATGGTGTTGTAGCAGCAAAAGCTACCAAATGATAAAAAGCATTAGTATTTCACATGACAAGAAATGCACTATATACAAATATAAAACTAACGTGCAATATAATAGTATTTACTCAATAACAAAGTGTCATTAGTAGAAAGATACAGGAAGTTTGGTTACTGTTGATGCACGTTCCGTTGCCAATTGCGAGAATCATTAGGTTTAAATATCATTATAATTTGGTGATCTATAGATTAAAAAGTCTATATAATTATGTACGACTTTTGAAACAATTAAAACAATGAAAGGATTTCATCAGTGTAATTCAAATTTAGTTGGCCCCCTTAAGGCGATGTGCGCCAAGGTAGCATTTTGTTGTCATTACAATGTCAATGATTACTTTAACATAATAACAGAGATCATACCTGGCAAAGCTTCGGGTTCTCCTCCACCTATATATAAGGCAAACGCATATTTATTAAACAAAGACTGGAATTCTTTACAATTATGTTTCACAAATGCTACTATATATATATATATTGGCTTTAAGTAGTAAGAATGCAATAGCGTACCGAATGAACCGAATTTCATTGACTTCAAATACAATTATTATTGAACTAATTCTAGTTAATATTAAATGCAGAGAAAGATGAATATTGCATATTATATATCAAAATATTGATAGGTTGAAATGTAATACATAATTTGCCTGATGTAGAAAATTCAATGAAACATATTTCAATACAAATATAATACGTCGTTGGTGTTATTGGCAATCAAGATAATAATGAATAATTTAAAAAATGTGTTGCAGTGTTTATTTCCCGTATATATTGTAATATTTTAAAGCTACGGTGGACTTGCGTGTTCCTTTCATGTGTAAGTAACCCAATATGACAATAAAACTATAATTATTGTTCGACAATAATAACTTACATGATTTTGCACAGACATATTTCACATTGAGAAACGTCTCAACCCTCTTACCACAAGGATTTCCACCATGGAAGTTGGGACGAAATGGAACGACGCAAGATCTTCTTCCTTCACACTTGTCTTTAACTGCTTGCAAAGTTGTCTCGGAAGTACACTCATCTGCCTCTAGTGGGGTAAGCACATCGCATCCTACATCACCTTGTGATCGTCCATAACTTGCACTTTGAATATAAACGTACTGTCCTTTTTCGCATTCCAGTCGAATTGATAAGCCTTTTGGTTTGATTCCACATCTGTTTTCCGCTGGCATCTCGTCATAACACTCAGGCGCACCTACTACTTCAACTGCTGGCTCAAAGTCCATCAAGTCCTCATCTTCGTCTTGGAGAGATGGTGTTGTAGCAGCAAAAGCTACCAAATGATAAAAAGCATTAGTATTTCACATGACAAGAAATGCACTATATACAAATATAAAACTAACGTGCAATATAATAGTATTTACTCAATAACAAAGTGTCATTAGTAGAAAGATACAGGAAGTTTGGTTACTGTTGATGCACGTTCCGTTGCCAATTGCGAGAATCATTAGGGTTAAATATCATTATAATTTGGTGAACTATAGATTAAAAAGTCTATATAATTATGGACGACTTTTGAAACAATTAAAACAATGAAAGGATTTCATCAGTGTAATTCAAATTTAGTTGGCCCCCTTAAGGCGATGTGTGCCAAGGTAGCATTTTGTTGTTAATACAATGTCAATGATTACTTTAACATAATAACAGAGATCATACCTGGCAAAACTTCGGGTTCTCCTCCACCTATAGATAAGGAAAACGCATATTTATTAAACAAAGACTGGAATTCTATACAATTATGTTTCACAAATGCTACTATGTATGTATTGGATTTAAGTAGTAAGAATGCAATAGCGTACCGAATGAACCGAATTTCATTGACTTCAAATACAATTATTAATGAACTAATTCTAGTTAATATTAAATGCAGAGAAAGATGAATATTGCATATTATATATCAAAATATTGCTAGGTTGAAATGTAATACATAATTTGCCTGATGTAGAAAACTCAATGAAACATATTTCAATACATATATAATACGCTGTTGGTGTTATTGGCAATCAAGATAATAATGAATAATTTAAAAACTGTGTTGCAGTGTTTATTTCCCGCATGAAAATTATATGTTGTAATATTTTAAAGCTACGGTGGACTTGCGTGTTCATTTCATGTGCAAGTAACCCAATATGACAATAAAACTATAATTATTGTTCGACAATAATAACTTACATGATTTTGCACAGACATATTTCACATTGAGAAACGTCTCAACCCTCCTACCACAAGGATTTCCACCATGAAAGTTGGGACGAAATGGAACGACGCAAGATCTTCTTCCTTCACACTTGTCTTTAACTGCTTGCAAAGTTGTCTCGGAAGTACACTCATCTTCCTCTAGTGGGGTAAGCACATCGCATCCTACATCACCTTGTGATCGTCCATAACTTGCGCTTTGAATATAAACGTACTGTCCTTCTTCGCATTCCAGTCGAATTGATAAGCCTTTTGGTTTGATTCCACATCTGTTTTCCGCTGGCATCTCGTCATAACACTCAGGCGCACCTTTTACGTCAACTGCTGGCTCAAAGTCCATCATGTCCTCATCTTCGACTGGGAGAGATGGTGTTGTAGCAGCAAAAGCTACCAAATAATAAAAAGCATTAGTATTTCACATGACAAGAAATGCACTATATACACATATAAAACTAACGTGCAATATAATAGTATTTACTCAATAACAAAGTGTCATTAGTAGAAAGATACAGGAAGTTTGTTTACTGTTGATGCACTTTCCGTTGCCAATTGCGAGAATCATTGGTTAAATATCATTATAATTTGGTGATCTATAGATTAAAAAGTCTATATAATTATGTACGACTTTTGAAAAAATTAAAACAATGAAAGGATTTCATCAGTGTAATTCAAATTTAGTTGGCCCCCTTAAGGCGATGTGCGCCAAGGTAGCATTTTGTTGTCAATAAAATGTCAATGATTATTTTAACATAATAACAGAGATCATACCTGGCAAAGCTTCGGGTTCTCCTCCACCTATATACAAGGAAAACGCATATTTATTAAACAAAGACTGGAATTCTTTACAATTATGTTTCACAAATGCTACTATATATATATATATATATTGGCTTTAAGTAGTAAGAATGCAATAGCGTACCGAATGAACCGAATTTCATTGACTTCAAATACAATTATTATTGAACTAATTCTAGTTAATATTAATTGCAGAGAAAGATGAATATTGCATATTATATATCAAAATATTGATAGGTTGAAATGTAATACATAATTTGCCTGATGTAGAAAATTCAATGAAACATATTTCAATACAAATATAATACGCCGTTGGTGTTATTGGCAATCAAGATAATAATGAATAATTTAAAAAATGTGTTGCAGTGTTTATTTCCCGCATGAAAATGATATATTGTAATATTTTAAAGCTACGGTGGACTTGCGTGTTCCTTTCATGTGCAAGTAACCCAATATGACAATAAAACTATAGTTGTTGCTTGACAATAATAACTTACATGATTTTGCACAGACATATTTCACATTGAGAAACGTCTCAACCCTCCTACCACAAGGATTTCCACCATGAAAGTTGGGACGAAATGGAACGACGCAAGATCTTCTTCCTTCACACTTTTCTTTAACTGCTTGCAAAGTTGTCTCGGAAGTACACTCATCTGCCTCTAGTGGGGTAAGCACATCGCATCCTACATCACCTTGTGATCGTCCATAACTTGCGCTTTGAATATAAACGTACTGTCCTTTTTCGCATTCCAGTCGAATTGATAAGCCTTTTGGTTTGATTCCACATCTGTTTTCCGCTGGCATCTCGTCATAACACTCAGGCGCACCTACTACTTCAACTGCTGGCTCAAAGTCCATCAAGTCCTCATCTTCGTCTTGGAGAGATGGTGTTGTAGCAGCAAAAGCTACCAAATGATAAAAAGCATTAGTATTTCACATGACAAGAAATGCACTATATACAAATATAAAACTAACGTGCAATATAATAGTATTTACTCAATAACAAAGTGTCATTAGTAGAAAGATACAGGAAGTTTGGTTACTGTTGATGCACGTTCCTTTGCCAATTGCGAGAATCATTAGGGTTAAATATCATTATAATTTGGTGATCTATAGATTAAAAAGTCTATATAATTATGTACGACTTTTGAAACAATTAAAACAATGAAAGGATTTCATCAGTGTAATTCAAATTTAGTTGGCCCCCTTAAGGCGATGTGCGCCAAGGTAGCATTTTGTTGTCATTACAATGTCAATGATTACTTTAACATAATAACAGAGATCATACCTGGCAAAGCTTCGGGTTCTCCTCCACCTATATATAAGGCAAACGCATATTTATTAAACAAAGACTGGAATTCTTTACAATTATGTTTCACAAATGCTACTATATATATATATATATATATTGGCTTTAAGTAGTAAGAATGCAATAGCGTACCGAATGAACCGAATTTCATTGACTTCAAATACAATTATTATTGAACTAATTCTAGTTAATATTAAATGCAGAGAAAGATGAATATTGCATATTATATATCAAAATATTGATAGGTTGAAATGTAATACATAATTTGCCTGATGTAGAAAATTCAATGAAACATATTTCAATACAAATATAATACGCCGTTGGTGTTATTGGCAATCAAGATAATAATGAATAATTTAAAAAATGTGTTGCAGTGTTTATTTCCCGCATGAAAATGATATATTGTAATATTTTAAAGCTACGGTGGACTTGCGTGTTCCTTTCATGTGCAAGTAACCCAATATGACAATAAAACTATAATTGTTGCTTGACAATAATAACTTACATGATTTTGCACAGACATATTTCACATTGAGAAACGTCTCAACCCTCCTACCACAAGGATTTCCACCATGAAAGTTGGGACGAAATGGAACGACGCAAGATCTTCTTCCTTCACACTTGTCTTTAACTGCTTGCAAAGTTGTTTCGGAAGTACACTCATCTGCCTCTAGTGGGGTAAGCACATCGCATCCTACATCACCTTGTGATCGTCCATAACTTGCGCTTTGAATATAAACGTACTGTCCTTTTTCGCATTCCAGTCGAATTGATAAGCCTTTTGGTTTGATTCCACATCGGTTTTCCGCTGGCATCTCGTCATAACACTCAGGCGCACCTTCTACTTCAACTGCTGGCTCAAAGTCCATCAAGTCCTCATCTTCGTCTGGGAGAGATGGTGTTGTAGCAGCAAAAGCTACCAAATGATAAAAAGCATTAGTATTTCACATGACAAGAAATGCACTATATACAAATATAAAACTAACGTGCAATATAATAGTATTTACTCAATAACAAAGTGTCATTAGTAGAAAGATACAGGAAGTTTGGTTACTGTTGATGCACGTTCTCTTGCCAATTGCGAGAATCATTAGGGTTAAATATCATTATAATTTGGTGATCTATAGATTAAAAAGTCTATATCATTATGTACGACTTTTGAAACAATTAAAACAATGAAAGGATTTCATCAGTGTAATTCAAATTTAGTTGGCCCCCTTAAGGCGATGTGCGCCAAAGTAGCATTTTGTTGTCATTACAATGTCAATGATTACTTTAACATAATAACAGAGATCATACCTGGCAAAGCTTCGGGTTCTCCCCCACCTATATATAAGGCAAACGCATATTTATTAAACAAAGACTGGAATTCTTTACAATTATGTTTCACAAATGTTACTATATATATATATATTGGCTTTAAGTAGTAAGAATGCAATAGCGTACCAAATGAACCGAATTTCATTGACTTCAAATACAATTATTATTGAACTAATTCTAGTTAATATTAAATGCAGAGAAAGATGAATATTGCATATTATATATCAAAATATTGATAGGTTGAAATGTAATACATAATTTGCCTGATGTAGAAAATTCAATGAAACATATTTCAATACAAATATAATACGCCGTTGGTGTTATTGGCAATCAAGATAATAATGAATAATTTAAAAAATGTGTTGCAGTGTTTATTTCCCGCATGAAAATGATATATTGTAATATTTTAAAGCTACGGTGGACTTGCGTGTTCCTTTCATGTGCAAGTAACCCAATATGACAATAAAACTATAATTGTTGCTTGACAATAATAACTTACATGATTTTGCACAGACATATTTCACATTGAGAAACGTCTCAACCCTCCTACCACAAGGATTTCCACCATGAAAGTTGGGACGAAATGGAACGACGCAAGATCTTCTTCCTTCACACTTGTCTTTAACTGCTTGCAAAGTTGTTTCGGAAGTACACTCATCTGCCTCTAGTGGGGTAAGCACATCGCATCCTACATCACCTTGTGATCGTCCATAACTTGCGCTTTGAATATAAACGTACTGTCCTTTTTCGCATTCCAGTCGAATTGATAAGCCTTTTGGTTTGATTCCACATCTGTTTTCCGCTGGCATCTCGTCATAACACTCAGGCGCACCTACTACTTCAACTGCTGGCTCAAAGTCCATCAAGTCCTCATCTTCGTCTGGGAGAGATGGTGTTGTAGCAGCAAAAGCTACCAAAATGATAAAAAGCATTAGTATTTCACATGACAAGAAATGCACTATATACAAATATAAAACTAACGTGCAATATAATAGTATTTACTCAATAACAAAGTGTCATTAGAAGAAAGATACAGGAAGTTTGGTTACTGTTGATGCACGTTCCGTTGCCAATTGCGAGAATCATTAGGGTTAAATATCATTATAATTTGGTGATCTATAGATTAAAAAGTCTATATAATTATGTACGACTTTTGAAAAAATTAAAACAATGAAAGAATTTCATCAGTGTAATTCAAATTTAGTTGGCCCCCTTAAGGCGATGTGCGCCAAGGTAGCATTTTGTTGTCAATAAAATGTCAATGATTATTTTAACATAATAACAGAGATCATACCTGGCAAAGCTTCGGGTTCTCCTCCACCTATATATAAGGAAAACGCATATTTATTAAACAAAGACTGGAATTCTTTACAATTATGTTTCACAAATGCTACTATATATATATATATTGGCTTTAAGTAGTAAGAATGCAATAGCGTACCGAATGAACCGAATTTCATTGACTTCAAATACAATTATTATTGAACTAATTCTAGTTAATATTAAATGCAGAGAAAGATGAATATTGCATATTATATATCAAAATATTGATAGGTTGAAATGTAATACATAATTTGCCTGATGTAGAAAATTCAATGAAACATATTTCAATACAAATATAATACGCCGTTGGTGTTATTGGCAATCAAGATAATAATGAATAATTTAAAAAATGTGTTGCAGTGTTTATTTCCCGCATGAAAATGATATATTGTAATATTTTAAAGCTACGGTGGACTTGCGTGTTCCTTTCATGTGCAAGTAACCCAATATGACAATAAAACTATAATTATTGTTCGACATTAATAACTTACATGATTTTGCACAGACATATTTCACATTGAGAAACGTCTCAACCCTCCTACCACAAGGATTTCCACCATGAAAGTTGGGACGAAATGGAACGACGCAAGATCTTCTTCCTTCACACTTGTCTTTAACTGCTTGCAAGTTGTCTCGGAAGTACACTCATCTGCCTCTAGTGGGGTAAGCACATCGCATCCTACATCACCTTTTGATCGTCCATAACTTGCGCTTTGAATATAAACGTACTGTCCTTTTTCGCATTCCAGTCGAATTGATAAGCCTTTTGGTTTGATTCCACATCTGTTTTCCGCTGGCATCTCGTCATAACACTCAGGCGCACCTTCTACTTCAACTGCTGGCTCAAAGTCCATCAAGTCCTCATCTTCGTCTTGGAGAGATGGTGTTGTAGCAGCAAAAGCTACCAAATGATAAAAGACATTAGTATTTCACATGACAAGAAATGCACTATATACAAATATAAAACTAACGTGCAATATAATAGTATTTACTCAATAACAAAGTGTCATTAGTAGAAAGATACATGAAGTTTGGTTACTGTTGATGCACGTTCCGTTGCCAATTGCGAGAATCATTAGGGTTAAATATCATTATAATTTGGTGATCTATAGATTAAAAAGTCTATATAATCATGTACGACTTTTGAAACAATTAAAACAATGAAAGGATTTCATCAGTGTAATTCAAATTTAGTTGGCCCCCTTAAGGCGATGTGCGCCAAGGTAGCATTTTGTTATCATTACAATGTCAATGATTACTTTAACATAATAACAGAGATCATACCTGGCAAAGCTTCGGGTTCTCCTCCACCTATATATAAGGCAAACGCATATTTATTAAACAAAGACTGGAATTCTTTACAATTATGTTTCACAAATGCTACTATATATATATATATATATATATATATATATATATATATATATATATATATATATATATATATATATATATATGGGCTTTAAGTAGTAAGAATGCAATAGCGTACCGAAAGAACCGAATTTCATTGACTTCAAATACAATTATTATTGAACTAATTCTAGTTAATATTAAATGCAGAGGAAGATGAATATTGCATATTATATATCAAAATATTGATAGGTTGAAATGTAATACATAATTTGTCTGATGTAGAAAACTCAATGAAACATATTTGAATACAAATATAATACGCCGTTGGTGTTATTGGCAATCAAGATAATAATGAATAATTTAAAAAATGTGTTGCAGTGTTTATTTCCCGCATGAAAATTATATATTGTAATATTTTAAAGCTACGGTGGACTTGCGTGTTCCTTTCATGTGCAAGTAACCCAATATGACAATAAAACTATAATTGTTGTTTGACAATAATAACTTACATGATTTTGCACAGACATATTTCACATTGAGAAACGTCTCAACCCTCCTACCACAAGGATTTCCACCATGAAAGTTGGGACGAAATGGAACGACGCAAGATCTTCTTCCTTCACACTTGTCTTTAACTGCTTGCAAAGTTGTTTCGGAAGTACACTCATCTGCCTCTAGTGGGGTAAGCACATCGCATCCTACATCACCTTGTGATCGTCCATAACTTGCGCTTTGAATATAAACGTACTGTCCTTTTTCGCATTCCAGTCGAATTGATAAGCCTTTTGGTTTGATTCCACATCTGTTTTCCGCTGGCATCTCGTCATAACACTCAGGCGCACCTTCTACTTCAACTGCTGGCTCAAAGTCCATCAAGTCCTCATCTTCGTCTGGGAGAGATGGTGTTGTAGCAGCAAAAGCTACCAAATGATAAAAAGCATTAGTATTTCACATGACAAGAAATGCACTATATACAAATATAAAACTAACGTGCAATATAATAGTATTTACTCAATAACAAAGTGTCATTAGTAGAAAGATACAGGAAGTTTGGTTACTGTTGATGCACGTTCCTTTGCCAATTGCGAGAATCATTAGGGTTAAATATCATTATAATTTGGTGATCTATAGATTAAAAAGTCTATATAATTATGTACGACTTTTGAAACAATTAAAACAATGAAAGGATTTCATCAGTGTAATTCAAATTTAGTTGGCCCCCTTAAGGCGATGTGCGCCAAGGTAGCATTTTGTTGTCATTACAATGTCAATGATTACTTTAACATAATAACAGAGATCATACCTGGCAAAGCTTCGGGTTCTCCTCCACCTATATATAAGGCAAACGCATATTTATTAAACAAAGACTGGAATTCTTTACAATTATGTTTCACAAATGCTACTATATATATATATATATATATATATTGGCTTTAAGTAGTAAGAATGCAATAGCGTACCGAATGAACCGAATTTCATTGACTTCAAATACAATTATTATTGAACTAATTCTAGTTAATATTAAATGCAGAGAAAGATGAATATTGCATATTATATATCAAAATATTGATAGGTTGAAATGTAATACATAATTTGCCTGATGTAGAAAATTCAATGAAACATATTTCAATACAAATATAATACGCCGTTGGTGTTATTGGCAATCAAGATAATAATGAATAATTTAAAAAATGTGTTGCAGTGTTTATTTCCCGCATGAAAATGATATATTGTAATATTTTAAAGCTACGGTGGACTTGCGTGTTCCTTTCATGTGCAAGTAACCCAATATGACAATAAAACTATAATTGTTGCTTGACAATAATAACTTACATGATTTTGCACAGACATATTTCACATTGAGAAACGTCTCAACCCTCCTACCACAAGATTTCCACCATGAAAGTTGGGACGAAATG